TTCTTGCTCACATTAAATTGCCAAGGGCATGGAGTACATAAGGGTTCTGAGGTGTAGGTTGCCGAAATCAGGGTCTAGAGAAAGGATATTGGTTTTCTCCTTATGGTCGCTTAGCTGTCTATGCTTAGCTTAAGCTCCTTGGCCCTAAACCCTAAACCCTAAACCCCAAACCCTAAACCCTAAACCCTAAACCCTAAACACTAAACCAGAGCCCAGCAAACTGTTAGCCATCTTCAGGGCACCCAAGGGTCATGCTCGGAGCTGTCAGATACGTTCGAAGTGGTTTTTGGGGAGGCTCAGCTCCGGTCTTTGGAAGTTCACTGTGTTTTTTTGGTTTAGGGTTTGGGGTTTAGGGTTTAGGCCCTAAACCCTAAACCCTAAACCCTAAACCCTAAACCCTAAACCCTAAACCCTAAACCCTAAACCCTAAACCCTAAACCCTAAACCCTAAACCCTAAGCCCTAAACCCTAAACCCTAAACCCTAAACCCTAAACCCTAAACCCTAAACCCTAAACCCTAAACCCTAAGCCCAAACCCGACTCTCGCAAGCCGCTCAGGCAGAGCAAGTGGTGCTGGTCGTTGGAGATCTCAAGGTCGACCTAGGAGACGCAGGAGAGAGGGTTTAGGGTTTAGGGTTTAGGGTTTAGGGTTTAGGGTTTCGGGTTTGGGGCTTAGGGTTTAGGGTTGGATTCGGGTTTAGGGTTCAGGGGGTTATTAGGGTTGATTGGGGTAAGTTGTTTTTGGTTTTGGGGGGCAAGGGTATAGGGTTTTAAGGCCATTGTGTTATTTTTCAAGGCATTCGGACTCATGGTGTGTGAAAAATATTTGGCTGCAGCCTGAACGGAGTCACACACGATTAATATGAACTCCAACTGCGTCAACCATAAGAATCTACGAGAGCACGGTACAGCTTCAAATTGCAGCTCAACTTGAGCATAATCCGGACCCCACTTCCCGCAAAAAGGACCCCGACATAGAGCAACCCCCTTCGTGACAGGAGTTCGGAGGCGCGTCCTGGGTTCCAGTGCGGATATCCCGTGCGAGGAGGACCGGGTCAGTGGCATGCGTGACTGTGCGTGCATGGCTTAGGCTTGTAGCGAAGTGTTGCTTGCGGCATTCCACATCACAGCTTCAATGGCGGTCTCTTCATGTCCAGAAATTGCAATCCACTCTGTTTCTTTAATCCCAAACCCTAGACTAAGACCTGAGCCCCCGAACCCCAAACCCCAATCTCCAAACCCTAAACCCTGAGACGTCAATCCGAAAACCGGAGGTAGCGAATGCCGCCACAGCACTGGGCTTCGTTGCAGGCCCCAACCCCCCCCACCACCGGGTGTTCACAGGTTTTCTTAGAGCTTTTTGTTGGGTATTGTTGGTTTGCTGAGATTGTAGCGTGTATGTTTTTCCCACCGTGGGTGGGGTTGCTAGATTTTAAGCTCAACTCTTCTCCTCGCCCGGAACTCTTCTCCTCGCCCAGTCTACTCCTCGCTCATCCCTGGAGTGCCCAACCCCAGAGTCTCCTTGGAGTGGCCAACCCCAGAGAGTCCCTGCAGTGCCCAACCCCAGAGTCTCCCTGCCCCAGAGTCTCCCTGGAGTGCCCAACTCCAGAGTATCTCTACCAAGAGAGGGTGGGGATGAGTAGAATATTTTGTGTGTTGGGGGGGGAGGGGAGATTGGGTTGTTTCTTGTGCAGCTTTGGGGTTCGATTGGTTGTATCCGGGTTTTGTAGAGCTTATTTTTTGTCTGTAGGGTTAGGGTGTAGGATCTGCGCTTAGAAGGGTTTCTACTAGACTTCAATGCAGGACTGTGAGATAAGAGACGCTTCCTTGCAATCCTCACCACGTATCGCCAAATACCTGAAAGCCTAGAGCCCAAAAGGACCCTAAACCTAAACTCATAACGCGAAACCCAAAGCGTTTGGGCTGATGTATATCCCCCCCCCCCTGATTATTTGGGTGTCCGCCTATTGCGGTTCCCTTCTTTTTTATGGGTTTACATAAACGCATATATGTCAAACCCTACACCACCGTTATAACCATAGCAATAAGTCGATGATGATGTAGGCACCCCAACCCTATAGGGTTAAGGTTGACAGGCTTAGGGTTTAAGATTGAGGCATTTAAACGTAAGCCCGCAATGAAACCTAAACCCTAACCGTTCAACCCGATAGATAGAGCTAAGGTTAAGGGGTTAGGGTTTCTGAATTAAGCATTTTAAACTTTAAGCCTAAACCCATAGAGCATTTATAACGAAAACCCATAGAGTTTTAACCTTAAGGGTTGAAGTTTCGGGCAGTTAAACCTTAACCCTGAACCCTAAAACCTGATAGGGCTCTACAAGGTTCAAAGGTTTTAACCCTAAAGGGTGCTGAAGGTATACATGCCCAAGACCTTAGGCCTTCTTGAACCATTGTACCCTATAGGGTTTAAAGGTTTAGGGTTTAAGGTTTGGGCATTACCTATACAATAGAACCTTAAAACCCTAAAGGGTTTGGGGCCTAAATCCCTAAACCTTAAATCCCATAGGGTTATGCCTACGTTTGTAGGGCTTTCGTCCCGGTGACGCGAGAATAGTGTGAGCAAATGTCCTTCACGATTTCAGGGGAGTCAAAATATAAACAAACCATATTGTTATATGATGGAAATCAGGTTTTGCTTATCGGGGGATGGTTGCGTGAGATATCTTAGCTAAGATAAAGTTTTAAGGATGGATGCTTTGTTTTGCTTATTGGGGCGTGATGGTGTTACCCGCATTTTCTTATAGGTTTATTGCATTTATATAAATCAAACCCTGAACCATAGATATAACCGCAGCAAAAAAGTTATAACCGTGTCATATACATATATCCGCGGAGCTCGTCACTTTCACTACTTCTTGGGCTTCAAAATATAAGCAAACTATTTCGTTAAGTGATGGAATTCAAGTTATGCTTATCGGGGGATGGTTGCTTGAGATATCTTAGCTAAGGTAAAGTCTTTAGGATAGATGTTTTGTTTTTCTTACTGGGGCGTGATGCAGTTCCCCATATTCTTATGGTTTTACAGAAGTGTATATAAATCAAACACTAATCCATAGTTATAACCACAGCAAAAAGTTATAACCTTGTCATATACATGTATCCACAGAGCTCGTCAAATCCGATGATGATGATGATGATGATGATGATGATGATGATGATGTAGGCACCCCAACCCTAGAAGGTTAAGGTTGACAGGTTCAGGGGGTACGACTGAGGCGTTTAAACCTAAGCCTGCAATTACACCCAAACCCTAACCTTTAATCCCTATAGAGTTAGGGTATAGTAGGGTTTAAGGGCAGGCATAATTAATCCAGGACGACTACCAATATTGAATATTGAAAAAAAAGTTCAATATTCAATACCGGGCAGAATCCAAGATCCAAGATCCAAGATGCCCAGGGACTCTTGGGGGGCAATCTTGGATACCACCCCCGGGCCCGGTATCCAAGATTGCCCCCCAAGAGTCCCTGGGCATCTTGGATCTTGGATCTTGGATTCCCACCCAATATTGAATATTGAAAAAAAAGTTCAATATTCAATATCGGGCAGAATCCAAGATCCAAGATCCAAGATGCCCAGGGACTCTTGGGGGGCAATCTTGGATACCACCCCCGGGCCCGGTATCCAAGATTGCCTCCCAAAAGTCCCTGGGCATCTTGGATCTTGGATCTTGGATTCCCACCCAATATTGAATATTGAAAAAAAAGTTCAATATTCAATATTGGTTGCTAGAAGGCTCAATCCCTTACAGGCTCAATCCCTTACATCTGAACACGGTTATCTTCAAGAATGCAAGTCCCTTAGACATTAATAGGGTTTTGTGGTTTAGGGTTAAAGGTTTAGGGTTTGAAAAAACTTAACATTTAAACTTAACAGAGGCAAATCCTCACGATTGGCTAAAAAAGCAGGGGGGGGGGGGATATACACGTACCCAAGCGTTTAGGGTTTGGGGTTTAGGGTTTGGCGTAAGCCCTGAAAACCTAAAGCTTAGGGTTTAGGATTAAAAGCCCGAACCGTAAATTTGAAGCGGGGTTTGCGTATGTATGGCTCCTTCTACATATTGGTGGGTGTCCTCATAGGCATGATTAGGGATGCAAGTATAATGAAAAACCCGACTACGAGTACTAAGACTTTCCTCAGGCTCGTGTCTCCACGACTGGACGCGCGTGAGCAGCGACGGTGCAGTCCTGGGGCAAGGGGAGGCCATGCCACAAGCACATGAATTTCGGGTTTCAGGTACCCTAAACCCTAAGCTCTAAACCCTAAACCCTAAACCCTAAACCCTAAACCCTAAACCCTAAACCCTAAACCCTAAACCCTAAGCCCTAAACCCTAAACCCTAAACCCTGTCTTAGAGTCCCGAAACCCTAAGCCCCTATCAGCCATGCCCAGCCGCCCTGAGAATGTATCTGTTGCGGGCTCCTGCTTTTCGGAGTTTAGGGTTTACGGTTCAGGGTTTAGGGTTGGATTAGGACAGGTTACAGGGTTGAGTGCTAAGGGCTTGACGGGCTGAGGGATTAGAGAGATAGATAGATAGATAGATAGGTTAGATTAGATTAGATTAGATTAGATTAGATTAGATTAGATTAGATGAGATAGACAGATAGATAGATAGATAGATATATACATACGAACATATATGTTCATATATATATATATGTATGCAGCATGCATATATATATATATATATATATATATATATATACATTTGGTAGTTCTCTACCTTAGGTTTCCTTTCCAGGTCCTTCTTTCAAGTGTGTGCTATATCGAGGACCCAAAAAAGGCCCGAGCTTCTGGTAACTTTAAACCCTAAACCCTGAACCCTAAACCCTAAACCCCAAACCCTAAACCCTAAACCCTAAACCCCAAACCCTAAACCCTAAACCCTAAACCGGTAACTTTAAACCCTAAACCCTGAACCCTAAACCCTAAGCCCTAAAACCTTCGTTTCCGCAGGCTGCTGATGAGCCACTCCTTGGCATGCCGACGGGCAGCGTGCTGGGAAGGCCGCCCGTTAGGGTTTAGGGTTTAGGGTTTAGGGTTTAGGGCTAAACACAAAACCCCAAACCCTGAACACTAAACCCTGAACCCTCGGAATGTTGAGCTAGGTTGTGCCTGCTTTTGGATGTCCACCTTTTATTCAGGGGGTTGGGGGTGTAGGTTTTTTGCCCTAGCTTTTTTTCTTCAGTATGCTTGACTGGGTTCCAAGCTTGGATTTAAGACGACCTTTTTAAGGAATACTTTTTGGAGGCTTTACAGGGCCAAATTGGTTGTGCATGTCTTTGGATTGGGATGTTCCCCCTTTTCCCCTTATACTGACAGTCCTTAACGGGCTATTACCGGGGATGATAGTACCCCAATTATAATCGCCGTTAAGGACTGTTAGTATAAAACCTGAAGAACCCCAGTTGAAGGGCACGGGGTTGTCTGGGTTCAGCGAAGCCTCCAAGTTTGCAGGTGGGACCCGCTCCAGGGACGAAACAGACAGGACCCGAACGTTAAGGTTCAGGATTTCGGGTTGGGATGTTTCCCCGCTTATACGAACAGTCCTTAATTAATAGGGATTATAGTACCCCCCCTATTCTAGTCCCCATTAAGGACTGCTAGTTTTTCGGAGAAACATCCCAAATTTGCGCGTTTAGAGTGTAGGGCTTGGGGTTTGGGACGGGTTGTTCTACAAGGAGGCACCCTCTGAGGTTTCAGGGGCTTGATTATGGGGCTCATTGGTTTAAGGCTTTAGGGACTTTAGGGCTGCAGGATTTTGCCGAAGGTTTACGGTCACTTCTCTAAATTATGGTCCCTTTGTGGTTTGTAATTCTACGATGGCCCCCAGTATTTAGGGTACCGAAAAAGGGACCCTAATTTAGAGAACTACCCTTAAGTTCAGGAGAGCCCCACTCCCCGTTCCGTTGAAGGGACACCCAGTTGACTCTAAACCCTAAACCCTAAACCCTAAACCCTAAAACCCCACTATGTGCACTGTGCTTTGTGCATGGGCCAAGTCTGAGCGGGGATTTGGGCTTCGGGGTTGGAATGCATATATCTACACACACACACGTACTGGCATTACCATTAGAGCTGCTTTCACGCTTATGTACAACATAGTATATATATATATATGCATATGTACATGCAACTGTGTATGTATATGCGTATGTAAATGTATGTGTATATGTATGTGTATGTGCATGTGTATATGTACGTGCTTATACCATGTGAAACTTGATATGTGGCATCCTTAGCTGTGTGATGTACACGCCGTAAGCCCCTCGAACCCGGTCAAGCCTCAAACATCAACCCCAGGATTTCATCTCGGAGTTCATCAATTACCACCTTCAGGACGTTTTTTGGTGGGGTTCCTAAACCCTAAACTCTTAGCCCTAAACCTAAACCCTAAACCCTAAACTCTAGGTTCGGCGACTGTGGCATTATGCTTCGGATGCTTGGGGGCAGAAGGTTTGAGGTTAGGCTGTTCACGGCATAAGGTTGAGGGATTACGGTCTGGGGTGCTTTGAAGGCACAGGGCCGTATGTGAATCAATGTAGGGCTTAAGGGCTCAAGGGAACGTGAGGGATAGGTTAAGAAGTGCAACTAGACAACACCAAGTCAGGGTACTTATGATGATCCGACTTGCAAACAGCTTACCGGCTTCTTTGATCTTTCTGGGCTTTAAAGCCGGGGTGTTTAGGGTTTAGGGTTTAGGGTTTAGGGTTTAGGGTTTAGGGTTTAGGGGTTAGAGTTAACGGAAAAGCGCTAAACATCTTCGGGTGTTTACATATTGCTTTGATGCCAGGCGGAGGTGTAAAAAGTGAAGTTGGTTATGTCATATAAGTGTCATTTCGCAGACAAGACCTGATAGAACAGTCGTACGAATAGTAACATGGAAGAACAGAATATATGCAATTCACATATAAAGAATATATCTTGTATACATGTATGTGTATAGTGTTTAAATTAAGTAAATGAATAGACATAAACAAGTATATACATATATATATATATTTACATATATGTATAATCTCCTCACAACGATGTCTTAAGGACAAGGTGCGGGCGCATCTTCTCGACATCAGTGACGAGGACCAAGACGGTTGTCTGGAACTAGGGGGTGCGACGTCGACGTTGGTTCTCGAGTCCTGAGCGTTTCTCTTCGCTCCCAACTCCCCCTAAATCCTAATCCCTAAACCCTGAACCCTAAACCCCCAAATCCCGTGCCGAAGCGGCTGCGCTCTTTCAGAGGAGCTTGGGGCATTAGGCGCCCACCACTTCGGAGATCAGGCAGAGTTGAGGGTGGTGAAGGTTTCAGAGGGTTTAGGGTTTAGGGTTTAGGGTTTCAGGTTTCGGGTTGGGTCTTTGGCTTTATGCCCTAAAGTTGGGGGTTCGCAAGTGGGGCCATCACTGGGCCTTGGCTTGAGGGGCGCACTGCGCCAGGAGTTCAGCACTAAAGCTTTGCCTTGGGATGTTCCCCCCTTATGCTAGC